ACAGCATGGCAAACCCAGCGGATTTGAAAACTGCTCCCCATAAAACAAAGACACCAACACTTAGAGAGGAAGGAAGACCGGAAACAAACAAAAAACCACCGTCGTTAAAACGCTCCTGGTTAGTCTGGTTCCATGACAAGATGGCCGGTGGGTGTGCGGGCCGGCTGTGGTGGGGTGTCTGGAGCGGCGGTGGCCCCCGGGCCCCACAGCCTGACGGACAGACTCGTCACGTGCACTCCGCAGCCGTGGCCGTGCGCGGGGCTCACAGGATCACACAGCAGTTACTCTCGCCTGTCTTTTCACGGTTCCTGTGACCTTGAGAGTTTGGCTCGGAGAGAGTCTCTCTGGCCACCAGATGCATCACGGTTGTTTTGCCAAAAGGAAGTTTCAAGGCTCCTAGCGTGACGTTCCCGTGCAGAAAGCGGCCTTGGTAAATGAGCCGGAGGATGTTTGGGCTGCTGACTTGCTCTTCTTCCCAGTCCGTCGGCCAGTTGTCATACACGTGCTTCTCGATGTCCGAGGCCGAGTCACTGGGAGAAAAGAGGAACTCCTTCGTCTTCCCACTCACCAAGATCAGGCGCAGGTTTATCATATCCGCCGGGACACTGCTGGACATCTTGCCGTTTGGTGGAGACTCCGATGTCCATGTCCAAAAAAACCCACAAAACAACAAAAATTTAAAAAACCCCACAGAGGTAGAAATTGTCACGCTCCGAAGGGAAACCCCGAGGGCCAGGCGTCCGTGCTGGGCTTCTCCCCCAAACACCCAAGTTATTCTGGAAGGCCAGTGGCGGCGCGGGGCCGAGGTGCGCACGAGCGAGGGGACAGTCCCCAGGCGCCGGGTCCGGCCGGAGCAGGAGAAGCAGGAGAGTCGCGGGAGGGCAGCTGCAGCCCCGTCGCTGTCGTCGCCGTCGTGGTCAAGTGCAGCCGCAGCCTCAGGTGGACCCTGCCGAGAGACACACGGGCACGGAGCGGGTGGGAGGGGGTGACATCCGCCTTCCTCCTTCCCCAGCCCCGGCGATGATTCACGGTCGCTGCCGAGTCAAGTCCTCATTAAGCAGGAGGAAGATGCCCGGCGTCCAAGTACACAGATAACTATGTCGCTACACATGGACGCGCGGGGCGCGGGCCAACGGCTCCTCAGCTCGCGCGCCCGGGCCGGAGAGCCGAGCGGCGCCGCGCGCTCAAGGGCATGGGACCAATTCTTACAACATTAGAATTGAGGAATCTAAATATGCCACTTTTTGTCCAAGAACTTTCACCCCACCTCAGTCCATATCCATGACCATTCCTCAGAAATCCGTTGCACATTTAGAACCCCCTCACTTTACTTCCTGCTGAACACATGTAACACCTGATCGTAGTTCTGATTTGTTCTTAGCTTGATCAACCAAAGCAACTTGTCTTTGTTCACTTCTAACCCGTGTCTAGCATTGTTTCTCAGCTACTGTGAGCAAGAGATTTGGGTTGCTGGCACTGGAATAAGCTGAAAAGCATGAATGTTCACCTGTAATTTTGTACCCTTAACCAATTATGTAATCTCAAATTTACAAAGAGACTTTAACATTATCATGGAAACATTCTGTTTGCTTTTTTTTTTAATTCTCATTTTCTATGAACTTTTTGAAATGTGTTAAGTTATCCATCTATCCTGTCTGAGGACCTTCTCTTATGCATGCCCACTTTGACTCCCGGATAAGTCTTTTGGAGCCCTGGTGGTGGAGTCGTCGTGTGTTGGCCTGTGATCTGCATTGTCAGAAGTTTGAAACCACCAGCAACTGTGCTGGAGAAAAACTGGGCTTTCTACTCCCATGAACAATTACAGTCTCCGAAACCCAGCGTGTCATTAGGAGTCAGCATTGACTCGATGGCTTTCAGCCAATTTGTAACTTTGTATTTTTAGTCTCTGCTCCAAGGTACAATTTGTTCCTTCTTCTTCACTGTCTAGCCTAGAGACTATTTTCCCTCTGAGAATTCTTCCTAAGCTGGACTGTATTTGAACTTTCAATTAATCTCTTATTTAAAAAAAAATGATAGCAAAACACTGTTCATGATATCAGTAAGGGCTTTTTTGTCTTTTTTTAATTTAGTTGTATTTTTTTAAATCATTTTATTGGGGGCTCATACAACTCTTATCACCATCCATATGTACATGCATTGTGTCAAGCACATTTGTACATTTGTTGGCATCTTCATTCTCAAACATTTGCTTTCTACTTGAGCCTTTGGTATCAGCTCCTTATTTTTCCGCCTCCTGCCTATCACCTTCTCCCTCATGAACTCTTGATAATTTATAAATTATTATTTTGTCATGTCTTACACTGTCCGACCTCTCCCTTCACTCACTTTTCTGTTGTCCTTCAGTGAGTTTTTGTATAATTAAAAAAAAGATTGTGTGTGTGAGGATTAAATCTATTAAAGCATGTTAAGTTCTTTTATGAAATGATATTAGTGTTCACTGCATGAGAAATATTAGTACTATTAATAACACCATTAGTACTACTATTAAGGGGAAGAACTAGAGGGTTAGGCATAAAGGGCCTGCAGAAAATTTCTCTAGTTCTATTAACCTTAGGTCCTGATGTAAAGATGGAATGCTGTATTAAAAAAATGTATATATATTACTTTTCCTGTATTATTGCTAGTCTTTACTTCCTGTTTTATTGAATTCCCTTAGATTCCTAGGTGGTTACACATTGGTCACTATGCACAGCTAGCAGTTCTAAATCACCAGCCACTCCACGACAAAAAGACCGATCCTTCTACTCCCAAAGATTCCTGCTCCAGGGAAACTCTCCTGGGCAGTTCCTCCCAATCCGACAGGGTCGCTATGAGTGAGCATTGAGTCGAGAGCAGGGAGTTGGGGGTTGTGGACAAGTAATGTAGTGTAAAGAAGTAGTGTACAGAAGGTATGACTCTATTCTACCTACAAGGATGAGGGAAAACGCCACGAAAAGTCAGGAAAACCCAGGAGACTTGGGTCGTGGACATCCCCTTGTCCAGGCAGCTCCTCTCTAGTGAACGTTTTCTGTTTTCCCCATTTATTTTTCTTCTCATGATTTTTGTCATTTATTTTCTGGCCTATCATTTTTATGCAACATAAAATGAGCCTATCTTTTGCCTCAATGAGATGAAATATGAGCTGTTGGGCTACTGCAGAGCACTAGAAAGTTCTCCCTTCCCTTCCCGGATGTCATATTATGTTGGAGCTGAGTCGTTTCAATGGTTCATTTTTCCAGGAAAACTGACCATGGTATTTTAGGAATGCTGGTCTTGTGCTCTTTAGTGCAGACATCAGCTTTAAACAAGAAGCATTATTTCTACTTTGAAAATAAGAAAACTAAGGCTCAGAAATTTTGAATACCATGTTCAAGATCAAACTTCCACAGCTCACTGGAATTAATGCTTAAAACAAACAAATAAACAAACAAACATCTTCAACAACATCAAGAAATGACAGGTATAATCTGCTCTTTGAGATGCCAGGCACTTTCTCAGAACTTTGCAAGCATGAAACCCTTATACCAACCCTATGAGGTACATTTTAAATATGAATATACTAAAGAATCGAAAAGCTATATATTTTATGAATTAACTACCTGCCACAGTTTGGGTTGCATATTTTATATCATAGCTTATTGACAACCAATTATTTGTACTATTTGTCTTTATCAAAACCTCTAATGACCTTTTCTATTATTTATAGTAATCCTATACCCTCAGAATTATTCTCTACTGGAGTACTTATCAAATTCATTCGCTGTTAAAGGAGCATGGTTCTTATATAATTTCCTTAATTGTTCATGCCAAATGATGATTCTGTCTGTGAATCTGAGCACTTGATCGTGTCGGTCTGTGACTGAGTGGATGACACTCCTCAGGAATACATCTTTAGTCTCTGATGGTACAGAATCCTCAGCAGGCAGACTTCGAGGGAAATGGGAAATCTCACAAAATTAAATGAGAAGTCCTGTTGAGGAATTTCATTTTTATTTTGTCTAAAAATATATACTCCAATGGGTACAAAGCTGTATAGATTTAATTCTTGGATAGAGAGTATAGAGACAAAATTAGTCTAATCAGTTCACTTATTGATTATCTGGACTTTGTTTCTAACATTTTTAGTACACATTCCCTTTCAGTTTGTTTACTTTTACAATCATGCTTACATACACTGTTCTTCAGAATGCCTTATATTTTGTTGAATTTGAAAATTTTATATTTTTGATGCAAACCCACGTTAAGTTATTGAGCTGTCAATATCCATGTGATGGGATCAGATGGTAATGAACTACATCTCACTTATACTGGTTTGATTCCGCAGTCCAACCCATAACTCACTATGTCATGGGGTCTCACACTGACCCATTTAGGGAGAAGATGCTAAGTCCAAATTAGTCCAAAAAGTCACTGAAAAACTTTCTTTAGGATGCTTTTTGCTATGAAACACCTTGCCATTGAATTGTTCAGGTGTCATTTAGTTCAATATGGCATAAAGATGCCATGTTTTACTCACCTATTTAATCCCAACTATACACAATGCTTACCCCATGATATATGCCGTTTATTTATTTAATAAATGAGTGATGAGATGTGTCCAACTCGTGTTTATGTCCACAGAAATAGTGTAGCAATTCTGATAGTTTCCCCAGAAGACACATTTAATCGTTCTTTTTAGCAAGGACATTAACAAATGTGTCATGGTCCAGTTCCATTGTCTGCTGGTCCACTCTTCGGAAATACCATGTGCTGGTTCTTACCAGCAGTGAGTTCTTCTGCAAACACACACACACATTGGTCTTCCTTTATCAGACTAGTATGTTGGGCAGTTAAAACCTGCATATCGGAGGAGACATGTCAGGAAGCAACCGATGACCACATCAAAGGAGAGACATGTGTACTTGACACTTCCAGTAGGAAGTGGTGGTTTACAACTTCCACAGGATCTTTCTTTCTACTTGAGTGAAGTCTCAGTGAGGTGTGGAGAGGCCTAGAGTAACATACACGTATGCTGAATTCATATTGACGAGCCTCTAAAAGTAGACAGTGAGCATTTTGGGTATGCTTCACAGAGGTAGGAGTGTTAGATCAGAGGACCTGAAAAGTCCACCCGTCCAGCTGGAAACCCTGTCACCGTGCTGTGTAAATTGTCTCCCTTCCAGGTCATTTTATCTGGTCCTAAAGAAGTACGTCTCTAGTAGCCTGTTTCATTTATGGACAGTTTTGACCACAAGAAAGTCCTTCCTTACCCTGAACATAAATTCAGATTCATTATCTTAGGATCATCGGACTCATTCGTTATTCCATTGCATAGATATGAGAACTAATTTTATTCTAACAAGTCTTATCACCAGGAAAAATAACTAGTTCCACCATCTATTCCTCTTGTAGCATGAGTGGAATCTCTAAAATGTTTATTTAAATTATTTTCTCTTCACCACTCTAATTGTTAATCAAAGCTTGAAAACTTCCCATAAAATGTATATGGCATCAGCCCTTTCTTAAAATATATTTTCTTTAACAAACTCATATATTTGGTACAGAACTAAGTTCTTAACATTGAATAAGTAGTATTATTTATACTCATTACTAATTTTCACTATTGACTAAAAGTATTTTCTTTTTTAATATAAACCATTGTATTGGTGGCTCTTACAGTTTATATAACAACCCATACATCAGTTGTATCA